GATGGCATTTTGATTCACCGAGAGTAAGCCTAAGAGCTGAAGTAGGAGTAAGAAATAAAATGGATTTATTTCCTTACTCCTACTCCTTACTCCAGCTTACTCCATGTATTGTAGACCAGCCTTCATGCATCGTCTACAATGCGCGGAGTAAGCCTGGGGTAGGGAGTTAGGCGTAGGAGTAAGGAAATAAATCAATTTTATGTCTTACGCTTACTCGCGCGAATCAGAATGCCGTTGGCCAGTGTTAAAGTATTTTACAAATTATGCCTGTATTTTCGCTTCCTTGCACCAAAAGCTAAAGGCATACTCTTCTTCTTCTTCCTGTTGTTATTGGCACCTGGATCCTAGTCGGCTCCAACACGGCCACAAGGCATACTCGACACATCAGGTTCTTTATGCATTGGTTCAGAGTCTATCTTTTTCCTTCTAATGCGGAGGAAAAGAGATGGACTCTGAACTGGTGCAGCAGCTGTAAGGAACAGACCTATTGTAGACGACGCATAAACTGCTGCAATTTTTCCGTTTGATCTGAAATCTGGACTCAAACAATGCAAATTCAACTGCGTAAAAGTAACACTACATTAATACTGCACAAAACGACAATTTTCTGATAAATTACACACACACACACACACACACACACACACACACACACACACGTACACACATATGTATATATGCAAGAATAAAATACACATGGAAGAGTAAAGTAAAAATTGAAAAGCACTCGTTTCTTTTTCAGATGCAGCACAATACTGAGTCCACGCACGATGTTGTTTGTGTCTTACAACTGGCGCTACGGGATATTCAATAAGCAAACGATGTTGACGCAGAGAGCGAAGCTGATACCGTGGCTGAAAATGACGAACGACATGCTCTGGTGGAGCGGTAATAAAGGACTTCTTGGCTTCGGTCGCGGTAAAGAGGCGACGATAGATGAGACGCATGGCAACTGCTATCGCACAGAACCCTACATAGGAGGTGACATCTGCAAATTCGTTCTTTGGAAAAACTTCATCATATGTGGCTATATGTATATACGATATTTGGCTGATCATATTTCTATCTTGGTTACTTTTCACCTCTACTGTGTGATCCTCCACGAAAACCCTCCACAGGGATGGCTCTGTCAATTACTTTCTGAAGAGGTTCGACACGAGAGAATGTTGCATCGCAAAGATACTTCCGAAAAACAATTGCTCCGTCAACGCTATAGACGCCACGTCGACAAATCTTGTTGCAGGTTTAGAGAATGGTACAGTAAAGGTAAAGCCTGAAGAATCCTAACATACGCACGCACAATGGCAATGTGCAGTCGTGGTCAGGAAGGTTGTCAGACGTTTTATAATAACTTTCAGAGATACAGTTTATCATGTGAGAGATTATAGCTTTTGGTCTCACGGATCTGTGCAGTGACGTATTATTAGAGCAAAGGAATGATGAAGTATGAATATCGATACTTATGAATATTCCGAAAACTTATTGTAACATTGGACAACCTTTTTGCCGGCGACCTTGCGTATGCACGTAAGATTCATTTCCGTTTAGATACTAAGACATCCAGACATGGACACGCCTGAAAAAACCATTTATAGAGATAGCCAGGTCCGCTACATATGTCTGCAGGACAAAGTGCGATCACTCTCGGTAGATCCTACGGAAGCAAAATGTGCCGTTGGCTCATCCGGAATTAACAGCATTCCACCGCTACACGTAATTGACATGGAGCGGTACGCCTAATATTGCAATTGATTAATCGATCGCTGCGAGATCGGGCGCGGTTTCAACGTATCGAATAATTTGCAAAATGAGCTAATGGAGAGATTTTCAGTTACACAATGGTAGACACAATACGGCACACGTGGAGACACGGTGCCGGGATACTGGACATGGTGTGGGACGATCCCAACACTTTACTCACATGCGGCTACGACACATGCATCCGAAAATGGGACTTAAGGTAACTTGTCTCGACTCTTCGGTCGCTGTTCTCCCAGCTTTATGTAACGTTAACGCATTCGTGACTTCAGATCTGGCAGATGCGTCTGTTCATGGGCGGACCCATTCGATGCAACGCCGTATTGTATTTCATCCGATTATCGGTATTCCATGGTGACAGGGACGCAGTATAACTGTATGGCTGTTCTGTGGGATCAGAGGAAGAGTGATTTCGTTCAGGTTCTTATCGACTTTAAACCGCGCTTTGTCGATTTTACAGTGTCCATGACGAGCTTCTTTTCATTTTCAGCTGTATTACGTCAATACGCGAACATCGACTCGACACAGCCCGATCTATTCTATACAATTTGATAGCTCACACCTGTACTGCGCTACGGATAGACTCGTCATCGAATTAAGCTTCTCGGCCCATTCGTGTCAGAAGTACGATTACAAGTCGCTGTTGAGTAGCTACGTTGAGCAGCTACGTTGAGCAGCTATGTAAAATCGTTTCATGCTGCAAGTTTAATTGTGACGAGAGGGACAAGTTCCAACTTTGGGAATCAAATGGTGTACCTCATTTTGTAAAAACAGCAACGTGTATTATAAATTGTAATGATACGAATTGCAATAATTGTGCCGTATGTAATTATATGCCAATACATCATACCTGTGTGTACGTGAACAGCTCGTGTTCGCACGACTTTTTTCTAGATTCACACCTCGAAGTATTGGCTTGTAATATAATTAAGAATGATATATTCCTGTGGAATAAAGAAAGTCAACTGTATTGCAACAATTTATTATCATTGCGATGCATACACAAAAGCGAAGATATAGTTTTCCCCATACATATATAAGATATATAACGATTATAAAATATAAAAAAAACAATGTTTTCGAATAACGGCGGCAAAGGGTTCAATCGATTAATAAACTTTGCGCCCCGTTTAACTTTGAACTACTTCCTCTAAAATTATAATGGAAAAACTTAGAGGAATTTTGAAATATGAAAAATAAATATGTTAATGGCGTGCTGTATACAAATATTGCAAATGCCATGTTAAATATTTTAGATGAAACAAATAATAAGCATTTATTACAATAGCGCCTGCAAAGTGTCCTACTCTTCCTCGCATTTTCTTCGTACTTAAAACTCAACTCTTGTTTAGAAGAGATACACCTTACATCCCAAAACCAATATTAAGTATCTCATTAAGTAATCTCCTAAAAGGATCACTTATATTCTCTTTTCTTATATCACTCATCAGAGCATCGTGCGAATCATGTAGTTGAGAATACCGCCGTGTTTGAAGTAAGTCAAGTCAACTTCCGTATCGAATCGCGCAATTACTTCGAATTTCTTGCCGTTATCCGTCTTCACGGTGATCTTTTCTCCGGGTTGGCAATTCGCGGGGATCGCGATGTCGTACTGTTCGTAACCCGTTAATCCCAGGGTCTCTGCGTTTTCTCCAGGAAGATATTGCAGTGGAACAATACCCATACCCACAAGATTGGATCTGCGAAGAAATAAACGAGTTTGAATATAGGTGCGTTAATGGATTAAATGAGAATGCATTAAATGAGAGCAGAGGTAAACTTGATTTTGTATAAAAAAATATATATATACTCTGAATTATAATACCTTTTATTTAAAGTTATATACTTTAAACAAGCCAACTTTTAGCTGAATCTTTTTTTACAAACAAGTTATAATTCAACGAAAACATTGTACTCCAATTCGATCGAAAATAAATAATAATTTCAAGACTTGCCTGTGTATTCTTTCATACGACTCTGCTATGACCGCCCGAATACCGAGTAGATACGGTCCTTTGGCGGCCCAATCTCTGGAAGATCCGGATCCGTATTCCTTGCCAACCAGGGCGATCAGAGGCGTCCCGTCTTTCGAGTATTTCTCGGCCGCGTCGAATACGTCCATCTAAATAACACAACCACAATTGTTATCAAGACAATGGCCGCGTTCAGCGGAAACAAGTTGCCTTTCAACTGTTGTAAAAATCTTGAATCCGATTGCTTTTAATTATGACAGAATCTAGGAGCATACTCCAATCAAATTTACGAATTTTACAACTGTTGTAATGTAGCTTTTTCCGCTGAACGCAGCCATTCATTGCCAATGTAATTTCAAAAACCGTCTGCTACAGATGTCATTTTTTAAAGCATTTTTATTCGATATATTTAAATTATATGCAAAAGAAAATGCAAAACGTATGTATATAATTGATTCGTGCTTAGGCTCGAAGTGAATTAATATTAAATGAATATTAATAGTTGAATCTTTGAAGCTATATACGGCGAAAAATAAATGCGCAGAAAGCAAAAATATACCTCTTCGTTAGTTGGAATGTAGATCGTTCGTGGTCCCGCTTTACCAATGAATTTATTCACGAGACGAATGTTAGCGAATGTGCCCCGCGCCATCACGGCGTCATTTCCTCTGCGCGAGCCGTAAGAATTGAAATCTTTCGGCGTTAAGCTGAAAATGAAGATCGTCACAGTGAAGAATTCGGAACCAGTTCGCGTGCGTTGTCCCTACAATCTCCATTCTTGCCAAACTCACCCTCGATTAGCTAGATATCTCGCCGCTGGCGAATTACGCGCGATACTGCCCGCTGGGCTAATATGATCAGTTGTAACGGAATCACCAAGATATACGAGCACTCGCCCCTTCGTGATTGATTTTATTGGAGGCAACTCCTGCAAAAATTTTTACTTTCGACAAATAAAGAGATGAATAATGACTATGCGATAACTTTCACGAAGCAAAAGCTAACGTTAAGATTGAAAATTGTTTTCGTATTCTAAAGAAAATTTTGAAAGATCAAATATTTGAAGTATTTAGTACAGTAGTAGATTATACATCACTGTAATGACCTTCTGCAAGTCATCGAAATAGGGTGGGTTTTTGATGTACGTAGAATTAAGATCCCACGGATACAGTTTGCCATCAGGTGCTACCAAACTTGCCCAATTGCTGCTGCCATGCTCGATTTTACCGTAGACTTCTTTGAACATTGCTGGAATGACGTACTTCTGCTCGACGGCTTGAATCTCCGCTCTAGTCGGCCAGATATCTTGCAAAAGTATTGGAGTCCCATCGGCTTTGTGACCTTGAAGATAACAGATACATCGTATAAGCTATGCTTTAATGCTTCATGTATCTCTATAAATTCAACGAAACGATCGAAGGGAATTCTACGTCTTACCTAGTGGCTGCTTCTCAAAGTCAAAGTCCACAGTGCCGGCAATGGCATATGCTATTACCAGCAGCGGAGACGCTAAGTAATTCGCCCGGGTGTTTGGATGAACTCTGCCTTCAAAGTTTCTATTGCCTGATAGAACTCCACAGCAAACGAGCTCATTCTACAAGCAAAACACAAGGTACGTAATAGTAAGCGTTGCTTTATATGCAAAGATATTATAAGGGAAAAGAGAAATCGTTTAATTCCATTTAATTAATCGAAAAGCTTTGAAGTCGATGAGGAATTTAAGATTTAGTGATTTTTAAACGGAATTTTATTCATTTTACAATCGTCAATAATTTACCCAAGTATTTCTATCTTTTGATGAAGGAAAATTACGGGAATGACAAGTAGAATTGAAATGCAAGATCAATTCCTTTACCTTTTCAATAGCATCGACTATAGCGTCAGGAAGCGGACCGCTGTTTCCAATACAGGTCATACATCCGTAACCCACGATGTCGAATCCTAACTTCGTCAGATACGGAATTACACCGCTTTCCTGGAGATAATAAGTAACGACTCCAGAGCCCGGTGACAATGACGTTTTTACAAATGGCTCAACGCTCAAGCCAGCTTCCACTGCGTTTTTAGCAAGGAGGCCTGTATCAAAGTATCAAAGTAGCGTATCTTACATTTAGAGCACTCGATTTTTATAGAACACACTGTGCTTTATTTATATGCTTCATTCTTTCACGATTAAATAATAATGCTGCTAATGAGATTTCGTACTAACGATAAAATAGAAACTAAATGTTATTCTACTTTCTATTCACATATGTAACAATGTTTCATTTCTTATCACCCTAATTTAAATTTCAAAGTATGAAGTAAGTTTGTTTTAGACAGATAAAATGTTCAAGTCGCTAATGACTATCTTAATAATGATTACTGATTATTAATAATAACGAACTTATTAAAGATTGATGATTATTAGAGCATCGAATAAATTAGTTTTGTTTGCATTTCTATTTGAGATTTTAACTGCGCTTCCAAAAACGTGTGGTAATACATTAACAAAGATTGCTTTTAGGTCTTCAAAGTAGCGCAAGCAGAGCAATTCTATTTCGCGTCCTCCGGCAAATCCTTTGCATCTAATAAGGTAAGATTGAAGCTTACGCTAGAGTATTTGTCCTTTGAAATGGCGCGCAGTTCAAATCTATATCCCGTTTTCACACCTTATTTTTTTTTAAACAAAAGTGGCAGGTGTCTAGCACTGGTACAACTATTCTAAATTATAAAATGTTAAACGTTGTGTAACAATCAGACTTTTCTGACAAAAATTTATAACACACCTGCTCCTAGCATAACGCTAGGGTTGCTGGTATTCGTGCAGCTGGTAATAGCCGCGATGACTACCGAGCCATGTTTCAATTCGTATTCTTTTCCCTCGTATTTAAATTTCCCTACGGCGTCCACCTTCGCCGGGGTTAAACCGTAGCCTTTGAAGCCTACCTGTAACGAAAACCACCATTTCGTTAGGCATTTTCGATAGCAACAGGAATTTTCTTACACATACTTAAGTGCGCGGTCTTTTCGTGACATCTACTTTATCATTCCTAATGAGATTCCTTATAAGAATTTCACGCTTCTTTTTACGTGATTTCAAGTGTTTCAAGCTGTTCGCATTTATTTATTGTTACACAAATTTGGCAGGTTTAATACGTCGAATGGTATGACGGAATTCATTGCCCGATACACGATTTGCTGAAGAAGCAGCACGAACTGGCAACATCTTTAAGCAATCGCGAGGTCTACGACCTCGTATTCACCTCACGCGTGCACAATTCAACAATGACGATATAGCAATGACAAGTATTTTTATATGAAAAAAAAATTATAAACAAGTTACACTTTATTAGATATTAAAAAAAGAATTAATGCAGGTTAAAGATTATATATTTAAATAAGAAGTTTAATAAAGATGCAAAATTGAGAAACATGACGTCATATTTACTTTAATTTTTTTATAGATGTCTAATTATTTAATATTATTTCTATTTTGTAGAAGTAGTTTGAAAGTACTTGACGTTAATCGTGACTGAAATATGCTAAACAGAAGATACAGCAAATACTGCTTTTAACATATCGGTGATTAATATAATGACACTTGCATAATCGACCATTTGCTACGTTGCAAATTAAATCGAAGATTCTCTTTTAAAACACAATTTTCCGTTCCATCGTTTCCCGTAACCATGTCCCTTTCCAGACCCTAGACACCGTTTCTTGATGGGAAATCCGAGCTCTTTCTATATACCAGTATGCACGACAAACGATGGCTCATTTGCAATGAAATGTGTGAGCTTTGCAAAACGAATGTAGTAGGATGTTGTATCAGCAATTTCAGCGCGAGCTCTGAATACGTCTTCCAGAACTTATGCGAAGTGTGACCAAAGACTCCTGTCTTCTCCGACGAGGCGGACGGATCGATCGATCAGCGGGTACGTGCGTACGAATTATTTCTTTCTTCATAAATTGTTAAGCGGCACACTCGCATTCTCCTACATTCTGAAGAATAAGAGAGTGAGTAACGCGTTCAACAGCCCACCGATTTTTATCGGTTGTTGAACGTCAAATAAATATACCGATAAATGTCATAAATATCGAAAATCTCAAGATAAGATAACGATCTAATACACGCGATTATTCTTATGCGGAGAGACTATACGAAGATTCGTAGGAGGATGATGCATAGTAATCGTAAATTTTTTAATAAAACACGGCATACATTTATTAATTTTGTCTGAGACAAAGCTTTTTCTCTTTGCTATCTTGTATTGTACAAAACAACAATGAGATGCAGCGACGATAACGATTAAATGGTAAATCCGAATCTTTGTGTAGATATTAAAAATATATTATTTATGAACATATATCATGAGAGTTTATAATGATATATGCGTAAGCTGCTAATAGTATTTCAAAGCATCATCTTAAAGTTGTACGAAATAAAGATTAATCTCTTTGAAATAATGAAAACGCTAATACAAGCACTGAATAATAATCAATCTTTGTTCATTTGATAATAATCAAATATTACTAAAATATTAGACTGTTATTAGGCCATTTTTCAATGTTGTAATAAATACCAAACTGTTGAAAAATATCAAAACTGTCACTTTGTAAATTTCTTAATTTAAACGAAGTTTCTCAATTTCTAAATTTAATATAATTTGAAATTTTCGTTGTAGAAAAATCGATTCCAAGTTGATAAAAAAATTGCCATTATTTCACATGTGTTTAACACATCTTGGTATATTTAATTAATAGGAGTAGCGTATCTTATCGATTTTCAATATCAATCTCAACCGAAGAGGAATTAAATTTCACGCGGAAGAAGCGTTAGCTTTATGATTCACATGGATGAGTTTCTTCGGCAAATGTCCTTGTGCCTGTCATAGGCCAGGTAACGCGACACCAGTGTTGAACATTTCGAATAGAAATCGATCGGCATGTTCTTAAACACGTATTGTTTCCGTCCGTCGAGCGATCATTCGCCGAGTTTCGCCTGTCGGATTAAGACCGCGGCTCTCTCGACGTGACCGCGAGTTAAATATAATATTCGCGTGATAAACATTTTTTTTGCGTTCCGTATGCTTTTCGTATGTTTACTGAAATTCTTTTTTGCTGCAATCTCGCTACTTGCACCGAAAGCATACTCAATAACAATCTGGTATGCAGTGTTGTGAAAGTCATGAAATGTTCTAGATCATAAGTTTTAGTTTCCTGGGATTCACTTGAAGATTTAAAAATGAATTATACATAACAGACTCAGTAAGAAAACAGTAGATCAGAAATAGGGATAAAAGAACCGATAAAAGGGCTCGACGAGACCCTAAGAATTAGACCGTTCCCGTGTATACAATGAGCAACGGCTAACTCAGACATCGAATTCTTTGTCAATGCGGTTCCCTTCGTCTGACTTGCTGATGAAGCTATGTTGTAAAAATGTTATAGTGTCGACATTGTGTGCTCTGATTCCAAAGGTAAAAAGATTTCGACGATTATTGGGAACATTAACCAACGAATGTTGTAAGTATCCATTTGTGTATGTACAACGTTTAAACTCTGCCTGAAGCTTCGTCGCGTGTGAAACAACAGCTTCGGATATTTGAAAAAATATTCAATAGGTAAAGTCGTTCTCAATTTTCCTGAAATAATCTGAATAGCTGAAACAGTTCTGAAGTGGCTGAATTGTACCAAAACTTTTTCCAACATTTGAAATAAAGACATTTTTTAAATATTCAGGGAAAAAATTGAAGAGGATGTATGGTGTCGACACTGCATAGAGGATTATATTGTTGGATGCAATCGTATCCGGTAAAGTTGATAATGAAGACTTCACCGGGTGATGATTGCATCCAATATTAAATCCGAGTACTCCTGGCGTTCAGAGCCACGTGAACATCGCCCTCCTAAGTATTGCTGTTAGGGTCGAGTATGTGACTGGTGCCACAAGTGAGAATTTGTGACTAGATCATATACTCGTCTTTAGTGGCAAGATATATCGTCTGAAGAATATAGAGTGATTCCACTCTACATCTCGCTCATTTATCTTTGGTGATCTAACTATATGTCGAATCGAAATATCATAAAGCTAGATCAGCAAAGGAAAGATGTTCGAGACATAGCAACACGGAACATCGTCGGCGATCACATATCAACGGTAACAAACATGCTTTTCGCAGCAATTTAATGCTAGTGTCACTAATGCATGCGAAACTGTACATATCTTTATCAAGCTTATTTTACTGCAGAGTTAACGAATCAGAGTACCTTTACTACAAATCCATGTACAAAAATCGTTGGTGTCGTCTAAAAAAAAACGTGCTTTTGGTTATATTAAATTACATAATGCTGCAGGTTGTTGTAAAAGTTAATAATTTTTAATCGCAGAGTCCAAAGGGACTTTTATTGTGATATGTTAATGCAACATAATCATATCACAGTAATAAGTTACCTAGTTCTCTGTCGATCATTCTCATTTTTGCTCACGTGTATTTTTTTCTAGCGAGAGTGCCATGCATTCAAGAGGAAATAGGATCGACTTCAGCTCCAGCTGGCAGAATAGAGGTACAGCATGAGATGAATATAATCCAGTTTGACTTGTACTTTATAGTCACTGGGTAATATTCGTCCCTTGTATGTACTAAATAATCATCTTTCCTAGAGCGCTCGTATTAACATCATTTATGAATGTATAGATTATTATTATTATTTTTATAAGTGTTTTATCTATAACGCATCCTCGATGATTGGCGTTATCATGCATCTTATCAACAAAGCACGGAATGTATCAGGAAATGAAATGGATTTGCTCGTAAGTGCAAACTGTTTTATATAGAAATGACTAAAAGCCACCAACCTTGTTCACAAGGCAATTCCTGAAATCTATTTGCATGTCGGACACCGAAACTCTGTCATGGGGTCTCTTGGGTCCGCTGACACTCGAAACCACGGTGTTCAAATCCAAAGTGACCACCTCGGAGAAGACTGGATCTTGACTCGGGTCATCATAATTCCTCAGCATGCGTACGTTTTTAAGATACTTCTCAATCTTATCAATGTGTTCCTCGGACCGGCCTAGAGTGTAGAAGAAAAATATATTGTATAAAGTATTTTAGAAGTAACCATATTGTAAGATACTTGTAAAAATACACAGTCAACGGTAAAAAGTTTTACCCGTTTGCTTGAGATATGCTAAGCTTTGTTGATCCACTGCGAAGAAGCCCACGGTTGCGCCATATTCTGGACACATGTTGGAAATAGTAGCACGGTCCGCGATACTCAGCTGCGCTACGCCTGGCCCGAAGAACTCGACGAATTTCCCAACCACTCCGATTTGTCGAAGATTCTACAAATGTGTAAAATGTTTCTTTTTAATATTAATATATTTAAATATGTGTTCCGTATTGTGTAAATTTTATCCATTAAAGTAAAAGTAAGTAAAATTATATTCATAAAAATGTGTGAAATATCTAATTATAACAAAAGTTCTATTTTTTCCGAGTACTTGGCTAAAAAATTATTCACCTTTGTAATAGTCAGGACAAGATCAGTGGACGTGGCATATTGATTTAATGCACCGTCCAATTTGTATCCCACGACTTTTGGTATTAACATGGAGATCGCTTGACCAAGCATAACAGCCTCCGCCTCGATACCACCAACCCCCCATCCGAGTACACCCAGACCGTTGACCATGGTAGTGTGAGAATCAGTGCCGACCACGCTGTCGGGATACAGAAGGTTGTCGGAGTCGAATACCACTCTCGCCAGGTACTCCAGATTCACCTGATGCACGATGCCGCTTCCGGGAGGTACGATCAACATATTCTTAAACGCCTTTGCGCCCCACTTGAGAAACATGAAGCGCTCCTTGTTTCTCTCAAATTCAAGTTCCTCATTCTTTTTTATCGCATCATTGCTGAAACACGCACGATGACAGTCAGATTTATATAAATCAAATTATCCGGCAACGTACAATATATGTATAAAACGACTTTTGTGTAACAAGTAAAATTTGTATCTTCAAGTTCCTCATTCTTTTTTTATCGCATCATTGCTGAAACACGCACGATGACAGTCAGATTTATATAAATTAAATTCTCTGGCAACGTATAATATAATTCAATGTATAAAACAACTTTTCTATAATAAGTAAAATTTGCATCTTATTCTTCTTTTTAAAATACTATCGAGCGTGTTACGTAAAATTTTTTCCCCCTTGCGCATGTAACATTACGGCAACGTCCAGCGGTCCAGCTTGTGTGATAACCTTTGACTCCTCATTATCAAAGAATCGAAACACGATTGCTAAAGCAACGAATCGTACCTCCTCGTAAAATCGGCCTGTATCGAATGATCGATTACGAGGTCCGATGGGCAGACTGGATTAATCTTATCAGGATCACCGCTCAGTCTCTTCACGGCGTCTCTCATCGCAGCAAAATCCACGACTGCCGGTACCCCAGTAAAGTCCTGCGTTTGCGGTTTAATAAGTAAAAAAAACATTTTCTTTCCGCGCAAGATGAAAACCGATGACATACAGAAATTTCGGAGGGACTCGTTTACCTGCAATATGACCCTCGCCGGCTTAAAGGCCACTTCGACTCCATCCTGAACGGCTTGGTTATTTTCCCAGTCCAGAATTTTCTCAACATCGGCCTTTGTCACTTGGAAATTGTCACAGTTGCGCACGGCGCTCTCCAAAAGAACTCGGATGGAAAATGGTAATGCGTCTGCAAGATGGAAATCAAACGTGCACATAAATATTTATATATCTACAGGGCGTCAGATAAACGACGTGCATAAAAACGTACCATATTTTGTGCCAAAACTGCCAATGTCGTAGTACTGGCAGTCCTTTAATCCGATTTTGATGGATTTTAGTAGACCCTTATAAGGATTTATTCCTAAAATAACATAAACGATTATACAACTGCACAATTATATGAATATCGTTATACGGCTTATTTTTATTGTAAATTGAAGAAACACAGGAAATACAAGAGAGCGAGGTACGCGATCTCTGTTTTCATTAGAAACAAGAAAATTATGAAATTTGACCAGGTAGAACAAAACGAATATTTTCAATTTTCTTTGAAATTTAATTTATCGCATTTCGAATCGCGGAACGTACGAAAGTGTCGAATGATTTGAATTTCGCAGGAGACCGCAACGTTCCGCGAAACGAACGCTTTGAATTTCGAAATCTGTCCCCTTTCGCACGTTGCAACTCTTGCCATCAATCGAAACGTCCGCGTCGCGAGGAACATTTGGGAAACCGCGACACTTTCTCGCTCTTCGCGTTCACGTCGACACGGGAGATTAAAGTCTTTTCAAACTTGGAGCGGTTTTTATACGTCGCAACTTTTACTGTTCCCTCACTTATGACACCCATGTGTTCTAAATTCCGCCGAATTCGTATACTAAAGTCGGGACGCGCGAGTTACTGTCCCTCGCTGGGAAGATGCCGATCCGCCGCAACGACACCGCGACGCCGAAATCGCTGTCTTCAATTGTTTACGCATCTCTTTCGCCGCGAAGCAACGGCAACAACCGAGAACAGACCTCTCTACTTACCAGCCATGATTGTCACTGAACAAGTCACGTCGGCCCCGGCCGCGCGATGCGTATATAGCGACGTATACCGTGTGTCCCCGAAACACCGGGCGGGCGATGATTCGACGTGCGCGCGCGGCGCGCGCGGTTGAACCTGGGTTGAACGCAGCGTTGCGCAAACGCGGGGCGCTTCGTCCGTCGCGGTCGCGACTGTTCGAGACTCGTGCCAGCGCGCGCGACGTGGGAAAGACGGGGAAAAAGCAGGGAAGAGGAGCGTCGGGCGAGGCGCGACCCGTCGCGTTGCGTAACGCGGCACCTCCCGCGGGTTAATTCGCCGCATAATCCGCTCGCGCGATACAATTACGGCGGGGAGGAAGGACAAAGTTCAATTACCGCGTAATGAGATTCGTCGGGCGACGCTCGGTACACGGGGCGCGCGTCACGTGGCTCTGCGCGTGGAAACGTGCGCGGCGCGATGACACTCGTCGCGAGCGAGAACGCGGGGAGCTTCGAGTGGCGTGCGCGCGATAAGTTTGATAACAGTCGATTCCTCCTCGGTCCTTCGAAAAGCGTGAATTGCGCGGGTCTCCCGGTGTCGATCGATCTCGGTTCCGCGCGAGACTCGAGGATGGAACGGAATTTGGTGAAGACGTTGGACGACACGTAAGTGTCCCCCCGGCAGGCGTAGGTTAGGGGGTCAATTCTGTGCCTGCGTTCGTTCTCTCCCACTGGGAGCACAAACTACACCGAAAGTCTAGAATTTACGTAACGTAAACTGTAGAGTTTCAGTATAGTTTGTGCTCGCAGTGGGAGAGAACGAACGCGAGCTGTAAGTCACAATACTGCCGTCCTAACCTCAAAAGCAGCATCTCCATTTCTTGGCCATTGCCTCACTTTCTATGTTTCTTAGAGAGATATTTGTCCTACAAGGCTAGAAAGCACTAGATTAACGTAAAATAACTTATGAACGTTGCAGTGTGTCCACATTTTTCCGTGGTGGCCTAGCTATGAGAACTTGAATGTGCGTTTCCTCGAAACTAACAATTTGGGAGAGAAAACATTGTTGCAATGTTTCTGAAAGCTTCGATCGGTGTTGTATGGGACCGGCCGTAGTAAAAATGCTAAAAGTGAGCGGCTTTGTTATTTTCTAAGGAGACTGCTAGAAAAGACAAAGCTATTCACTTTCAGCGTTTTCACTATGGTGCAAGTTACACAATTGACACCTAGGAGACGATTTTTCCAACGTCGCGAGCGGTTTCGGTGTTTTCTCCACCTTTTGCCGCGTGATAAACGTCATGTCACTTGATATTATTTGATACAGTTGCGTGCCGCCGTCTTCCGTGCACATCACTCTCTTATTTGCTAATCTTGTATGTACACAACAAAGTTATTGTATTCTGTAGGTACGATCAGGAAGGTATCGTCGGATGCATCCTGGCCGATCACGCTGGTCTCTGTCTAGGAGGTGATAAGTCATCAAAGATGGAAACGAGAAAACTGCACGAGTCATGTGCAACAAAGCCATTGTAGAGTCTGTTTTACAAACGTCGGTTAACTGTTAACCGGAGATTAATCGATTCTCTGTCTTCTTAGGCCTGGTTTCACCAACATTGTTTAACTTTAAGCTTAGCTTAATTCGTTCTTTGTCTCCTTCTGTTACTTTAGAAAGAGACAAACGTGAATTAAACTAACAATAAGATTAAAGTTGAGCGACGTTCGGTGAAACTGAGCCTTAGATAATATACAGAAAGGTAGAAAGAGGCTCAATCATGAATCTTTTTCTCTAGGGTGAGCTCGTGAAGAGTCAACAATTTTATTAGCAAATTCAATATTTGTCAATGAAAATTTTAACTTTTACGTTTGAGGAAAAGATTTGTGATTGAGTCTCTGGTTAACAGTTAACCGACGTTTGTGAAACTGACCCATAGATCCACTTCTGTAAATGTTGCCTAACTTTGATCCTAGCTCGATTCAGTCTTTGTCTCTTTTTGAGAAGACAGAGACAAAGGATGAAGTAAGCCAGGTTTGAAGCTAAGCGACGTTAGTGAAACCGAGCCGAATATCCATTTCTATCAATGCAGATTAAATCTCGGCTTAACTCACTTTTTTTTCTTATCCTTAGAACTAGAAGAAGATGAAAAGTAAGTTAAGCCGAGATTAAACTTATCTACATTGATAGAAATGGACAATATAGTTATAAATAAACCTTTGCAGTTAAGGGTGACGCGTCGAGCGACAGTGCCGGGCTGATAGCGGCCATAGCGGATCTGGTCGCGAAGCTCGAGCCGAAATCCGCGTCGCCGATTATATCGCTTCAAAATGACGACAGGTGAGCGGAATATCGAGCAGCTCTGTGACATTTCTCAGTCCTGGGTAAAAACTCGCTTCATTGAATTTCAGGCAGTGCATTATACTTCGCAAGGAATCCGTAGTCGGTGCCATATATAAAGATATATCGACCTGAAATGATGTTGTATACACGGCTTATTTATATGCGAAAGTCATTTTTTTACAAAAATATTTTAATTACTAAACATAAGTGTAAGCGCAAGTTGTTAATAAAACAAGAAATGTAAAACCAGTTTTCGTCGCAGGAACTTGTGAGCAACATTATCTAGTTGTAAAAAAAAAATAACCATTTATATATGACCTTTTCACATTTTACAAGATCTCGCGATGAATCTGTAGTTGATTTGTACACATCATAAATAAAGTAATTTACAGTACACGAGGCTTCGGGGATCAGTCGCTCTTTCTTTGTTTGCTTCTTCTCTCGTACCACTTGCTCGTGGCGAGCTTGATTAACTCGGCATTCTCATATACCCAGGACGCAAGTACGATCGTGAACATCGCTACGCCGATCAGTAGGTGCAACGCTTTTTCAGCCGGGAAGAAGTAGGTCTGAAATAACGAGATTGTCTTAACGCGCTGTACGACCTTGGCGCGCGCGCGCACACACGCGTGTAAAATCGCATCGGGATACTTTACGTGTGACAAATTGGTGACGAACGCCGCGACGAGTAGACACGCGGAGAACATGGGCTTCGGTACCAGTCCGCGTAGCGGACGATAGACCGTGTCCCGGTGCCTGCTGTGGATGAATATCGCCGAGTGTATGATTCTCAGGCTCATGTTGACGCAGTTGCCGAGGATGAAGCCGACCGAGCCGAACCAGGTGGCGAACAGGTACGACGCGCCCAGAAACGCGACCGACTGATAGACCATGATCACGTTGCTCTTGTTTATCGTCGCGCTGTCGGCTGTCGCGTTGGTGTAGCACTCGGTCACGCCGTTGATGCCCAGCAGCAACACGGCGAGGCAGTGGGTCCTCAGCAGGAGTACGGGCAGGGGTAGCGTCAGCTTCGAGCCACCGTACAGCCAGAGCAACGTGCTCGAGTAGGACTGACCAAATACCAGGACGACCAGGCCGATGCACGTGACGATGGAGCACAAGTGTGTCAGCACGTTCACGCTCTCCTGCACCATCGCCTGAAAATCTCACGGTTCATAAATGTGCACGTAAAATTCTTAAGACTGTATGGAGGCTGCGACGGACGCTCACTGGATTCTGATCGGATATCGTTTTGTCCCTCTTCACTATCTGCGTGAAGTAAAAGTATCCACTGTCCTCGATTGGACGGAAAATAAATCTAGCAGCTAGCGAGCCCATGTTGTTCACGATCTCATAGATACCCTTAAAGAGAAAGAAAGAAAGAGCGTTAGCACGATGACGATGTTGCGGTATTTACGTTCAAACACAAACCTGTTCTGTGAACGTCAATACTGGCATTATAGTCATGATCAGTCTTTCGCCCTCCGTCAAGATCTGCTTCAGTATTCCTTGCCTAAAGAAGCTCCACGTGAGAACACTTAACTTCCTATCAAGATACGAATCCTACGGAGTAACTGTTGTACTGTTCTTGCAGGACGATAACGTAGCCACGCGATCGCGCCGATACATACGTTGTTTTCCAGCCGGCCGGGTAGAAAGTCCGTTATCGCGCGGAAGGGAAACTCCCTTATCACGTACTCGTCGCTGCCGTCTCTCAGGGACATCCTCCGCTTCTGCGAGCACTTGTTCAGCTTCTCGATGTGACGGTGAAAGTACGCGTAGTGGCTCGTCGTGTAGAACACTGCCGCGACAAGCTGAGCGATGCCGAATGCGAGCAACGCGTTCTCCGGGTGGTACAGTATCAGCGGGACAAACGTCATCGTGCGAATGACGATCATGATCGTGTCCAGGACTATCTGGAAGGGCAAAGGTGGCGGTGAGACACCCGGTTCCTCGAGGACGCCGCATACCTACCGTCCGCGCCGTCTTACTTTAAGCCTAACGAAAAGGAACGCGCTCGAGACTAACTGAACGACCAGGGAAGACAGTTCTATGACGCACGACAGTCCGACCGACCAGACTGCGAACGTGTAGTACGGCGGCAACGCCTCCGCGGTGGACAGCAAGAACAACCAAATGTATCCAAACAGGAGGGACATCACAACGCATATGGGCACTCTGCAACGCGTTGATTAATTCATACAACTTTTGTTAAAGTGGAACGTCCAAGTCTCTCGGAAGCGAAACCGATCAGCGCCGCTTTTACTTGCGTATTTCTTGGTTTCGACAGTGCACCATTAATTTTACAAATTCATCAACTTTCTCTAGTCTTCACTTAGACTCGGTTTCACCAGCGTCACTTAACTTTGACCTTACGCAATTAGTTCAATTCATTGCTTTCCCTCTTTCTGAGGGAACAAGCTGGGAAGAGACAAAGGGCGAACTAAGTCGAGCTTAGAGCTTAAGTGACGTTGGGGAAACTTAACGATCGGTTTAGCTTCCAACAGGCTGGAATCGTCGTGTACATGGTGAACCGACGTTAGCCAAAGTAGATTCACAACTTGGGCCCAGTTGTGCTCCGCCGTGTTAGTCAGGCATGCTTTCACGAATGGCTCGCGCGACAAGAACAGTATCATAGATTCCAGCAAGAGCAGCCTCACATTAATGACGCCCAGGACCGCCTGGCCCACATGACGGACGACGAATGCGTTCAGGACAAACGTGACGCACCGGCAGAATATCTGTGGAGCAAGAGTCTCATTGAAATTTCTGACATTTTCACGCGTGCCGTTTGTCGGTGCGCGCAGAAGCGGATCTGCCACCGGATCACGGCGGATTCTCAGATTAAAACGAGCAACGTGGAGGGGTAACTCGGTGCAAGGACAGCGAGCCACCTCGGGGAAGCTCCGACGGTCGGCACTCCTGGTTTTACCGGCGTACCTGAAACACGATGCTGAACGAGGCATTCTCCACGCTGCTCTTCAGGATACTCGGCATTTTCGGGCCGATCCGACGGGGATCCGCGCGAGTATCTCGGGACTCCCGCCGGGAGACGTGGAGACCACGTCAACGCGCAGCGCAGCCCCTGCGCGAGGTTAGGTTAGGTTAGGTTAGGCGAGGCGATTGCGCCGCGGGGACAACCGGGGCGACGTTCGTCGACCATCTCCCCCCTCGGTTTCGCGCGTGTCGCCGGTCTCTTCGCTCGCGTGAGATCCGGTTTTCGTCACCGCGGTGGAGAAGAGGGACGACGCTTCGGCGATCAGCGCGATAACATATCCCGTGACGCAACTCACGTCGTGACGCGCGTCCACACGACACGATGCTATTTTTCGCCGCGCGCGCGCGCGCGGCGGCGGTGAGGAGCGTGTAAACCGACCTCTTCGTCGTCGGTTGAGGGTGACGATTTAACTTGGGACCAAAGTTCGGTTAATTTATAGAGGAAAGTCCCCTATTATGCGACAGGATTCTAATATGGGACAGCGGGGTTTCTGTTTAGCGAAGAATTCATTGCGAGATCGGGTAATGGCTGCGAGAAGAGATCTGTGATTGAATTTGGGCGTTGAAAACCTGCTATCTTATATTAGGAGCCTATCTCATAACAGAGGACTTTGCTATTTAGGCCTGATTGACAATGTGCTTAAATCAAAACGCTTGAAAAATTTATCGACGGTATATAATGAACAATTTGTCAACTTGCAAATTTTTTAAACGTATTTATTGACTGTAAAATTCTAGACGCAAAGAGCACATTGTACATCAGATTTCAACGAGGACGGATCTACTAATTTTTTGGTCGTCTAAAGCCTTGTTTCCACGATCCAAGAACTGTGTCAAAGTTCTAGTTTTGAAAAATGTGTAGCCAATCAACTTGCATCTCTTATGGAATAGCTGCAAGTTGATTGACTACACATTTGTCGAAACTAGAACTTGGACCAAGTCCTAGCATCGTGGACACAGGCCTTAATGGAAAGAAAGATTAGAGACGAGACGAAAAAATACAGTTGGAAGTGTTGTTACAAGCAATTTTGTCGCGTAGCTTAAAGCCAACGGCACACGATACTATTTTTCCCACTGGATTACGTGCGAGAGCCAATCAGGATACAGCTTTGAGTCACCTGATCGAGAACTCTGCATCCTGATTGGCTCTCGTAAGCAGTCCAGTAGGAAAAATAGTATCGTGTGCCGTTGGCTTTAATCAGTAATTAACTGGAGTAAAGGCCTGCGGGCGTTTTCCAGCAAGGACACAATGTGACACAGTGTAACACTGTAAATCATTACATCCTTGTTGTTTGCCAATGTTAAACAAGGATGAAACGATTCGCTGTGTTACACTGTGTCCTTGCTGGAAAACGTCCTGTGTCCACGATGCTAGGACTTGGTCCAAGTTCTAGTTTTGAGAAATGTGTAGCCAATCAACTTGCAGCTCTTCCGTAAGAGATACAAGTTGATGGGCTACACATTTAATTCAAAACTAGAACTTTGACACAGTTCTTGGATCGTGGACACAAGGCTTAATAGCTGTACTGGTCCAATGAAACATGAACGATTTGTTAAGCCAACGGCAGACGATGCTATTTTTCCTACTGAATTGCTTACGAGAGCCTATCAGGATTTAGGTCTTAGTCACCTGATCTAAAACTCTGTATCCTAAGTCCCAGTCTACAATAGAGATTTAAGCCCTAAGCCTTAGTCCCAGTCTACAATAGATGATTTAAGCCCTAAGCTTTAAGAAATTGGCCAATCACGGTCAAGTACGAGTAGAATACGCGACTGTGATTAGTCAATTTCTTAAGGCTTAGGGCTTAAATCTCTATTGTAGACTGGGACTTAAGAAATTGACTAATCACAGTCGCGCATTCTTCTCATACTTGACCGTGATTGGCCAATTTCTTAAAGTTTAGGGCTTAAATCATCTATTGTAGACTGGGACTTATTGGTTCTCGTAAAGCCCGTATCAGACTACGGATTGAGATTGGGATTAGATTGAAATTTGACCAGTTAGAGTAAAAGTTACTAAACTTGAGATCAGTAAACTTTACTGTGATTGGTCAAATTTCAATCTAATCCCAATCTCAATCCGTAGTCTGATATGGGCTTAAGTGATCCAGCAGGAAAAATCGTATGAAAAGGAAGATTAAGCCCGCTGCAGACGATGCTACTTTTCTGAGTTTTCCCGCTGGGTTGCTTGCGGTTTAGTAAATTACTAGAAATCCTGAGTGCTGAGTGGCGCAATGATAGTAATTTATGAGATTGCAAGCGATCCAGCGGGAAAATTAGCATAGTCTGCGGCGGGCTTTAGATCGAGAATGGCGAGCTGTGACAGCTAAAAGTTGTTTCGTGAGTAATTGCGTCGATTGATCAAACTTCATTGGTGATTAACTTATTAGACAACAACTGTACTATTTCGTCAACGTGGATAATTTATCAATTTTTTCTTGACCAACTAGAAAGGAAGAAAGATTGGACCAAGGACGACGAGTGGGTACAGCATTTGCAGCTGTGATTAGCGACGGGTATCATTGTTGCAAGTCATTGTTGTCGCTTCTGTGGAATACTTTTCCGACGAGGAAAAATTATATGAATTAAATTATGTTGACGCCGTAGTCTCGCTCGCACCCCGACGATCGTCTTCTCTCGCGACTCCTTTCATAACTTTCCTTCTTTCCGCGTTCAAAGTCTGAACGTGCAATTTATATTTTATCGCGGGAAGAGGGGGGGGGAGAGACAAAGAGAGCGAGAGAGAAAGTGCAAGATATTTAAATGAAGCGCAACGTAACGGCTCGCCAATATCACGATCAGCGATTGAAGAGATTGATTTATATTTACGCCGCTCGGTCAGTTTGGAGTAACACAACTGGATGACCAAACTTCGATTAACGTAATTGGCGATTAATTCAATTGGCGGAGTGAAAACAAACGTCGGCGACCGTCTCTCGCGACGGAATTACGTAAGATGGAAAACGGAAGACGCGGTAGAATCGCGGTATAACTAGTAGGTCCACTCTCCCTGGCGAAAATTTTAAGTAAGGCGAAAGTAACGCGAAAAGTAGCGCGTTACTTTTCAGAATTGGTGGCTTGTAACTGTAACTAGTTACATTTTTAGCGAAAGAGCTGTAACTGGACACTTTTATAAGGTAATTTTCCCAACCCAGGATTATACTATGGTAGAATTCCATTGACCGCCCGTTGAACTTTGCAGAAATGGAAATTTGACCGCGCGGATGCGATGTCAGGACGGCCGAGCGATATTGATATTATTACACCAAGATACAGATACAGGCGATAAGAGCGCGGTCGGACCGAGATTCGGCACGTGGACGGTCAAGTATGTTAAAAACAGAACGCTAGCGAAGCCCTCGAATGTCTACGTCGAGCGCTTACGTAATGACGGATTAATTTTGCATAGTTAATATTTTTTTAGCCTCTGCAAATAAATCACGAATGCGAACGTCGACTCGAGTGCGAGACCGTGTTTGAGGGAAGAGACGAGTTTGCGAAGGGGAAACAGAAGAGGAGCGGTTTGCCGGAATTCGGTTCCCGGGAAAGGAAAACACGATTAAAGTGGTACTGTTTGGAAATGCATTCTGCTGATTTTTCCAAACTCTGCGGACGATACGGCCGGGAAACCGAGGGAAGAAACTAGAAGCAAAGAGAGAGAGAGAGGAACGCGCGAGAGTGCGAACAAGGACGGGTGTCCGTTTGAGAAAAGGAAGGAAGGGAAGTCGGCGCGCGATCAGCTGATCGGGTCTCGGGATTCTGTCATGGCGCGCGATACTTCTCGAACGTTCCCGGACGGCACGGAGCAGTCGGGCAGCGCGGAACGATCGTCCCAGGTAAATCAAGCGAGGCGGCGCGACGGCGCGGCGCGTCCGTACAAGGAGGAAACGCGGAAACGTTCCCCGGGTGGCTTCGGGAGGGACTCGGGGGGGGGGGCCGCGCGTGTCCGGGAACGGGGGTGCGTAACGTCGATCGAGAGAAGCCGTCGGCGCGATCCGACGTAGAACCCCTCTGGAAGCGTGTGCACCGCGGACGTCACGTTTCTCGGAACGTCGCTATCTTATCGCGGGATTATTAGCTCGGGGCTTTTACGTAATCCGAGCGTTTAGACGCGCGGGGGCAGGGCCTCTTCGGCGTACGCTCTCGGCGCGATATCGAATTCGCCGAGCGCGACGCCGCGCAGAGCCCACCGTCTCCCCGCTCCCCGCAGTCTGCGTCCCGTTCGCTGTACAGTTACTCGCCGCCGCGGTGTTATTATTTATACGGCCGCGCGGCGGCCGCGCTCCGCAGTCGTCGCTCGCTGGTCGTCGCGGTCAGTCGGACAGCGGGGCGGGGGGGAACGTCCGGTCTCTCTGGCGGCGGCGGCGACGGCGCCGTTGAGGTGTGTGTGCGTGTGTGCGACTCGCGCCGCTCCCGCTCGACAATCTGATGAGTAAGTGTCACGCCGGCCTGGCGTGGCGCGTGAGACGTCACGCCACCGTCTCTCCGCGCCGCGGCTTCCGCGTCGCCGTCCCCGCCGCGATCTCGGTCCCCCGGGTCGACGTCGCGGCGACGACGACGACGACAGCGGCGCTGACGCGCGCGGCGAGTCGAAAATACACCGGCGCGTCGCTGGCGACCGCGGCAGGAGCGGTCGCCGCGAAATGGGAACAATGTCGTGTTAGCGGGAGATCGATCGCCTGTATAATTACTAATTTATCGTGGCGTGTTTACGTAATAGCGCGTCTGTGCCGCTGGCGTTCGAGGGCGAGCAGCCGGCCGCGTGTAAGCCAGACGCGAATTTTAAACGTCCGTGCTCCGCACTTGTTGCTCCGAGATCCCAGTCTACGACATTGTATCTGGAGGCATTGTATTTTATATGAACAAATCGAGACGCTTGAAAACTCCGTCGACGACGTACGATAGCACAGTGTATAATGTACAATTTGTCCAAATTTTTTAAACGCATTTATCGGCTGCAAAGTAGAGTGTTTCGAGACGCAAAGAGCACGTTGCGGATTTTGGCCTCGGTGTTTCGCACCGAAATTGCGTCCGTCCTGCCGAGGCACTCTCGAGATCTCGTCTTGAGAAGCAGCTGCGATACTCCGTTATATTTCTATTATATTTTGCGATAAGCGTTCACGGAAACGGCGCGGTGACGAAAAGCGGGATTTGTATTTGTATTCAGTCGGCAAGTGTATACGCGACATATATGGGATAATAGCGGATTACATTAAAGCGACTTAAAAATGCACAGAAATGTATATGATGACTTTACGTGACGTTACCTATGTAAATATTATGCCTATGTATATAATGCGCGTACCTTACACATTGTGTGCGCAACTGGAAGGAATTGATCTTTGACTCTTGACTTGAAAATAAGCCGCGTGCACGCGCAACTTTCAAAAGTTCTTCCGCCGCGTTGGAGGATTTTGAAAAAAAATATATATATATACTGGCCGGCGGAGAAAATGGGGACCGCATTTGCATAATATTTTAAACATGACGCGTCGTAAAGGCACGATATACTATTTCATTTGAGATTGCGCTTGAAAAGAAAAAAAAATGTGTCTCCAGTGTGCGTATGTATCTTTTTCAGCGTATGCATTATTTACCATAATAGGTGGAATCGTAGCGAGCTATTTCACCCTGATGCAATGAGTCCGCACAGCCATAAGAACAGTTTAACGCCAAAAGACATGCAGTCCAACGGATACTCCACCGGCGAAGCCGTGACCAAGGAAGCGAGGAATCGTTCATCTCCTTGTGAGTCAGTGGATTGTATGTGTGCCTAGATTGCCAATTTTTTACTTTTTATTATAACACTACGTTGCCCGTTGCGTCGCTCGGGACGCTCGGCGGTTTTACTTTGTACCTTGTGTCCACGATTATTACAATTTGTCCATGACTTTTTGTACAGAGTAGAAATGTATCGAATACATAACTGAGCGATGTATCGAGATCGATATGTAGCCGACGAGCGAGTGCAAGTGTCCACGCGTTACGATATTCGCTGTGTGCAGCTGCGGTGTCTCCGTATTCGTGTATTCTTAATACGCATAATTGTTTGTACTTGATTGTTATATCAGTTAATGGTCAACCTTCGACTGACCGAGCAGGGGTCGAAACTATTAACGGCTTAGCCTGGGTTGAAAAACGGTGGAAACGAATATTAATGAAACTGTGAATATTGTACTTGGAAGAGACTATAGGCTGAAAGTCCCGTGTCCATACTTTGTCCAATATCATGAATATTGTACTCGAACGACTGTACCATATGCATTTGGGAATACCCGCAGCTATATCGTGCCTAACATTGTGTAGAGTTGTACAAAACAATAATTATATCGTAGACATCGCTCGTCGGCTTGTACTGGGCTCGAATCGTCTCTTAGATCTTTTTATATAACAAGTATCGAATTTTGTCTCTAATTTGATTTTGTTAAGCTAAATAACATATGTAACAAGGTAGATGATGCTTGCGACAGGAACATTATTACCTCGCTTGATTGTCACCCGAAAGTACATTTGTAATTAGATAAATTCTTATACTGTGTAAATATATATATATACCTTTTACATTTGCTTGCCACAATTTTTCTGCATGACGTGTTAATAATCATATCTTTAAAAATTGAATTTCACACACAGTTTCTAACTGCTGTAGCGGTCATCGTACCCTTTTTACAAAAATGTATTCTTGAGGAACATTATCATTATTTTCGTAGAAATTTAGACGGGATGAAATATTAATCGTGCCTTGTTGTTACAGCGATGCCTTGGTTTGGGATGGATATAGGCGGTACATTGTGCAAACTGGTATACTTTGAGCCGAAAGATATAACGAGAGACGAGGCGGACGCAGAGGTTGAGACATTAAAAAATATCCGCCGGTATCTCACTAAAAATTCGGCATACGGAAAAACTGGTCATCGCGATACGCATTTACAAGTGAGCGTTGTCGAATATTTAACTTGTACCTTCTGTAATTCACTGGCTACACGGACCTGTCGGTAATTGCTGGCTTCAACAATTGTTGCAGATGGATAACGTCTGCATCAGAGGCAGACGAGGAACGTTGCACTTCATTAGGTTTCCTACGAGCGAAATGGGAAATTTTTTAGCGCTAGCAAAATCAAAGGGTATGGCGAATCTGGTGACTACTGTTTGCGCCACTGGGGGCGGCGCTTTCAAGTTCGAGGATAATTTCAATAAGGTTCGGAAAATTGCCCGTCTTCATTTCTGTCTTGTCACAATTGCGACGTGAATAATTGTTAAAATGTAACGAAATCTTTTGGCAGGAAGTAAACATGAACTTGGCAAAGTTCGACGAATTAGATAGTTTAATACGCGGAATGCTCTATATAGAGACTACGAATCCACACGAATGCTATTATTGGTCGAACCCTACCGACGACAGCAAGTGTCATAAAGTACCTTACGACTTTTCCGAACCATATCCTTTCTTGGTAAGTGTACGCGGAGATATTTCGTTGTGCGCTTTCTTGATTGAACAAGTTACTGATCCATTGTATCCTGCAGCTCGTCAATATAGGCTCTGGAGTAAGTATACTAGCCGTATACGGGCCGGAAAATTATAAAAGGATATCTGGAACAAGGTAAAGTAAATTGCGCGCCTGTCATATCTTGTAACGATAAGATGTTTGCCAATAGCGGTATAACACTTGTGTTACCTTATAGCCTAGGTGGTGGTACGTTCCTAGGATTATGTTGTCTTCTCACTGGATGCAATACCTTTGAAGAGGCGATAGAATTAGCCACGGGCGGCGATAATACAAGAGTGGATAAGTTGGTTAGAGACATATATGGCGGTGATTACGGTCCTTTCAGTCTTCCCGGAGATTTAGTTGCGAGCAGGTACAACCATTGCAAAGATTTGCCCAATTCTTAATTTCTATTCTGAGATACAATACCTTTACTTTCTTCATTTATATTCCATTGTTTTTAGTTTTGGGCAAATGAATTCCAAAGACCGCAGAAACACCGTGACGAAGGAAGATCTGGCGCGTGCAACTCTTGTTACTATCACGAATAACATTGGTTCTATCGCGCGTATGTGTGCTGTTAATGAAAAAATTGAGAGGGTAATAATATATGTAATTTATGTTATACATATATCATCTCTCAAACTGGACATTTGTAACAATTTTCGCTTTCAGGTCGTATTTGTAGGGAATTTTCTCAGGGTAAATCCTATATCGATGAAATTGTTGGCCTATGCTATGGATTATTGGTCTAAAGGAACTTTGAAGGCCCTGTTTTTGGAACATGAAGTAAGAATCCAACTGGTTGCGAGAGCTCATATTGTAAAATGCTATTCACATCAGACGTATCACTGAATATTGCGTCTTGATTTCAGGGTTACTTCGGAGCAGTGGGTTGTCTATTACAATTTAATGGCGAATCGAGCTAGACACAATGGAAAGTGTTAAGGAGATAGTCTTACAACGTGCAGCATTCCATAAGACCAATTTCGCAGAACATTTCTTGAGTGAGCAAGATTTGTTCGTAATTATTCTCATTTTTAACTATAACAGTAAATATTCTTTATATTTATTTTTGTTATATTCTTTTACGAATCTATCTTTCCAGTCTATTGAGTATCAGTTGATTGTAATAAAACGGAAAAACCTTCATATTTAGTAATAGAATTATGGGTATATTTCTTAAGTGTCGTTGTATAATTTATCACTGTTTTAATGTAGAAAAAAGTAATTGTGTCAAGATAGTTCTTTTCTTTTTGATCGGAGGGTTTTGATATATGTTCGATTACGAGCACAAATCTAATACGACTCGGCAGATAAAATCAATAATGGACCAAATCCAAAGAGATAAAGGATTGCCTCCTCCTTCCGATGTTCGTTACATGCCGCATAGACTAGTTCTACCTCATAATTTATATTGTAAAGTTTTTCTACAAATGTGCACAGGTTTTTATGTATATAAGTAATATGGCAATCGTTATTACACTTGCACATCTTTTCGTAAGTTTATAAACGAAAGAAATCATTGTAATAGTAAATACTTTCGCACTAATTGTTAATATTCGTAATATTCTGTTGTTAATGTATTGTGTTGTAAGATGAATTTTTAATGCGAACTTTTTAATTGAATAGTAACGCAACTTTTTATTAAAATATTCATTCGCATGTTGCGCAACTGGCAATTGTATGAATTATGAATTTTTTACGTCGCTTCGGTGCTATTGCGATTTGTAATGCAAAATATACGCTTCCGTCAGGATGTTACGAAACGATGCGGTGCATACTCCAAGTTATCAAAATGTGTCAAATTTTAAATCCTGTTTTCGAGAAACGTGTAGTAATGCGAATGAATGAAAACGTATTATTGAAACGCTGATATTGTACCGTAAAGAAAATACATACATTGTTTTAGAAAACAACAATCGTGATATATTTATCTCCTATTAACTAAGCAAAAATGTTAACTAACATTTTTGACCATTCGAAATGTTAATTTCTCGAATAATTTGATATTATCGCAAGCGTGTCCTTCAAACTCATTTCTGTTGCAATGTATTGTGAAGTATACCAAGCAAACTTTAATAAAATATCACTTTAATGTACAATGCAAAATGTGTACGTACGTATGTGTCCATACCTCTACGTTGTTATTCGCAATAACATTTGAACTAAAATTTTGTGAGTAAAATGAACTAGTTAACATAATATGTAAATAATGTTTCTAAATATTAATTTCAATAACGTATGTCGTATTATAATGTATATTTTACAGAAACTTCACGTTTGAAAGGCGCATTCAAAATTCAAAGTCGCATAAAATCTGCATTCTGCATACATGTATACGGAATAAGAGTATTAGACATGGTTACCTAGCAACGTTCTTACAAAACAGCTCGCGCTAAATGTCAAGCCTGACTGATTTGTACATAGTCAGCTGATGTGAGGCTATAGATCTAGTAGTACCGTCATCATTATTCGCGCTACATCTTTTTATAATTCTTTTTGCGGCTTTTTTGATATCTGAAAAAATGGTAAGTTTATTAATTTTAACTATTAATCAGCTATAAAAGCTTTACCACAATAGATATCAGTATTTTATCAGTACATACATTTTCATTAAACGCTTTTATGTAATTCCGCACGTATAATTATGATTTTTGTTACATCTATGATTATGTTCTTTCTTTCATGTTTTATGAATTAGCGTTTCTTAATTGTGTTATTTAAAATTGATGAAAAGGGTCCTAAGAAAGCAAAGGGGAAAGCGACAGATAATGTCGACGGGGTAGACACAACGAAAATGAATAGAGAGCAATTGGAGATATACGCCCACAAGATATTGGAAGAGATGGAACGTGAACGGGAGGAAAGAAACTTTTTCCAACTAGAGCGGGACAAATTGCGGACTTTTTGGGAAATTACGAGGCATCAGTTGGATGAAGCACGCGCTATAATCAGGTACATTGATGGTAATGACTGGCTGGTTTGCAACGTACGTGACCTCATTAAAAATTCTTCAGAAATAAAGAACGCGAAAAAGAGGAATTGGCGGAGGATCATGAGGCTGAACTTAAGTTGTACAAGCAAAAGGTGAAACACTTGATGTACGAGCATCAGACTAATTTGTCAGAGACCAAGGCCGAGCATTTGGTTGCTCTTAAACTGGCGCAAGACGATCATGTCGTGCAAGAAAACGAGCTTATTCGAGATAAAACGGAGCTAAAAAAAAAGCAGAAAGAACAGGAAGTGGCGCATATGAACGAAATCCGCGCATTGAAATTGGTAAGACACGCACGTAACGATTTGCCGCCTTCCATATATGTTAAATTGTAATTGAGAAAAAATGCTTTATTTTACGCGCCCAAAATGCAGCACAATTCGGAGGAAATGAGCAATATGATGAAGAAATTTGAATCCGAGGCGATAGAATTGGAGCAAAAGTACGAACAAAAATTAACTAGCCAATATGAGTCCTTAATATTGAAGCATCGCATGGAAATAACTGAAGTGGAAGAGAGGAAGAACGTGCAAATCGCGAATCTGATAAAGAACCACGAGAGTGCGTTTGCTGAAATGAAAAATTATTACAATGATATCACACTGAACAACTTATCGTTAATTAAGAGTATGAAGGTGAACTGTTATTGTAAATTGTACAATTATAGAATCGTGGAAAGCCGGAATCAGGAGATTTTCAATTAACGTGGCAAACCTTTTAACAGGAACAAATGGAAGTGATGAGAAACAGCGAGGAACGTATGAAGAAGCAAGTACGGGAACTGACAGCGGAGAATAAAAAATATTTGGCCGACCTGAAAGCTTTGCAGGAAACGACTGCGGAACTTAATCGTCAACTTGCAAATTATGAGAAAGACAAGCAGTGCTTGGTTGTTGGTATCTGAAACACAACTTTGACATATAATGACGTTACGGAAAACCAAAAGCATAATTGAATCAATGATTATTGCAGAATACAAAACGGAGATTGTCCGTGGTGGCAAAGGATCTAGAAAATTTAAAGTGGGAGAATGAAGTTCTCGAGCTGCGTTTTGAAAAAGTAAGATATTTAAATACACATATTCGAACGTACAATAACATACATTTTCGAAACGTACATATACCTAACGCATTTTATTTAGTGTCAATCCGAGAGAGACGAGTTACATTCTAGATTTGTCTCGGCTATATTCGAACTGCAACAGAAAACGGGTTTAAAGAATGTACTCTTGGAAAAGAAATTAGAAAAGTTGTCGGACTTACTGGAGCAACGCGAAGCGCAGATTAGCGAAGTGTTAGCTGCTGCCCAATTGGATCCTGCGGCGGTCGTTAGTGTGAATAAAAAATTAGAGGTATGCAATCTCATTATGACAATCTGAATTAGATACGAATACGGTAGTAATACAATATTTCCTTGTAGGATATGCTCAATAGAAAAAATACTGCAATACAAGATTTACAATACGAATTAGCGAAAGTGTGCAAAGCACACGACGATTTGTTAGCGGCTTACGAGAGTAAACTGCAAGAATATGGAATTCCCAAGGCTGAACTTGGATTTCAGCCCCTGAGGATGAAGATTGCCGGTGCGAAATTCAGCTTAGGCCCAGCTGGGCTCGTTACAACAAATCAGTAATACATTTTATAAATATTTACATATAATCGATTTATGAAAATTTTATATACCTTGTCTGAGAAAATTGTACCGACAAGTGGACACATTTTATCGCTATTTTTGTATATTTTAATGGAAGAGATAATAAGTTTTTCAATAAGCCATACAATACTTGATATGTGTCGCGTTTAATGCATCTAGCGGTACTTCCTAACAAGCGATACGTGAGAAAGCCTGAAATATTACCTCTGAACATGTAGAATTAACTTTGACACAGAGTATTTTTATTTTGTAAAACAAATACATTTTAGTTTATGCGTTATGTTCTCAAAAATTACACAAAATTATCACAGAGAATGTACAGAGTAGATCGTATCGATGCCTGTAAGTTGTATAGTCTCAGTAATTATTCAACATATTTATGCTTTTGCCTCTAATCACATCTCTCGTCCGTGGTTAATATTGGCAATGAAAAATCTGATATCATATACGGCTCATACACATTTTCATGATTCCATTACTGACTGCGTAACTTTCCTTCGCGCTCTCCAACGTCTCGTCAAATATCTAACAACTGGCAGGCACAAATACATTAAAGATACATTCATATATAGATATTAACATATAGATATTAGACACTGACTAGTCTAACTTGTAAAACACCTGTAAGTCAAATACATCAGGTCACATGGTTAATAAATTTCAAACACTGGCTTTATGTAAAATACTTGCCCGTCCTTTCCTCGCGCAATAATAGTAATAGTCTGTAAACTTTCCCATCTCATAATACTTTACGGTTAAGTGAAGAAATAATTTAGCATTTGCTCACAGATTTGTAAATATTATACAACGCTTTGTATAGATATAATTTTATAATACATATATATTTATATATATGCTTATATGTATATATTAAGAATTTTGGCACAATAAGAAATAGAATCACAGTTGAAATCATTGTACATTATAAGATTTACAGATGGTTTTGTCATTACGTCGGTTTCGTGTCTCTGTGAAGTGTACGTTACACGCTTGCTACGATATGAAATGCATATTGAACCGTGTAAACACAATCAACTTGAAACTCCACAACACTAGGCTACATTATAGAAAATTACGTGAATTACGAAATAATATATAAAAAATGTAGGTTTCGGAAAAGCTAAGGGATTAACCAGTCAAGACAATTCTGAGCACTGCAAAATTTAGAATTTATCTGTACGCGTGTTCTTTTCTCTTTATCTGAATTAGGCTCGTTTGGTTGTCATCTTACCTGGAAAGAACATCTCCGATCTACGTTCTATTTTCCCTTTTCCGTGAAATTTTTTACGGCCGTGTCGAGTGTGTATCAGAGTCGTAGAAAAAATAAGCATCTGTTTTAATTTTTAGATATTAGTGGTCCATTGTTCCATTTGTAAACCTTTTCCTCGAGTTTTCCTTGAAAGATTCGCTCGCTACGTTTAAAGGTGCATCGATTCCTAGCTTGGTGCGCACGCTAAATTTAAATAAGAGCGTAATGTATGCTTAACATCGTCAGTATGACGCATTTATACATACAAAATTTTATGTGATGCAGCAACACACTTTCATTTCACTACTGGCGAGATACTTACGCATTCGTATGATAAATAAAGAGAAAATATATGAGCATATGTATTATCTAGAATAGGGAAAAGGCAAGATACACTTTCAAGTAGTTAGAAATTACCATACTTGCATAAATAGCAGATGTAAATGTACGATGGTTATCTACGTGGCTTGTACGCACTTGGTCTGCGGTCTGATAAGAGTCGTGTTAATTAATTTAAACGTTGAATTGCAAATTTTGTACTTTACCGGCATTGAAAAGGAACCGTAAATTTCCGGAAACTCTGTCTCCCTCCCGTTGTAAATTAATGAAAAGCCTCCACAAGTAATTTATCGACTTTCGAAAAAAGATTACGTATTACAAAAGAATGTGCGCGTACGGTGTAACTTAAGTGAGATCCGTCGGCTTTCTTATTTCTGGTTATTTGATTTTCACGTTCAACTCATTATCCTCCAGTTTGGTAGCACGTCAGCGATCAACGTAGAAAAGTATGTTGTTACATTGTAAACCACGGTTTCGCCGGCGGCCAAAATGGCCCCGAAGGAGCCGTAAGTGCCGTAGTCTATTACGCTGTGATTGCACGCGGACAGGACCGCGAGATCCCTCCCGGGGCCTTTGCCGTCGTTCTCCGACACGAAGCTGATTCGGTGACGCTTGCTGCGTAAGTTGTACTTGCACCAGGCGATATTGTCGCTCGTCACCACAAAGACCACGTTGCTGTACTTGCCGGCGAAATAATCCATCGCCGACAGGTAGTAACTTATCGGCGCCGGGCGCGTCTTCAGCTTCTGCCAGAGGTAATCCACGTAGTCGGTCCTACGCACGTGTACGCTGACGTACGTCGGCGAGGACAGGTTGAATTTCTCCGCCACGCGCTTCAACACCTTCTCCGCGTAGATCCTCAGGCTCGGCTTGAACGTGAACTCCCGCCGTACGTCGTCCAGCCAGACCAGTATCAAGGACCAATAAGCCGCGTGCCTGAGAAAGAGTGCACAATTATTATTTCACTTATTTTTCTTGAATTGCACATTGAATATCAAATAAAATAATGCTACAACTAGTGCAATCAAAATTATACTTTAAGCTGAATAAAGCAAATTTAATCAAACTTGTACTAATTGACACGGTAATAAAGGAAAGTCCCCTATTATGACAGAGTTTCTAACACGAGATTATAGGTTTTTAACATTCAATCAAAAATCTTTTCTCGCAACGATTATACAATCTAACAGTGAATGGCGATAAATTCACGGTGGTACCAAAATAGACGCCTAGCAGAAACCCCATCATCTCATATTAAGATTCTATCATAACAGGGGACTTTCCTCTGCTACAAATCTAATGAATAAATTTCAATACATCTCTCCTCTCTTTCTCTCTCCTCTTTTGCAAGATTAAGCAAGAGTTGTGTACAACTTATTTCATTCCGCGTCGTAAGATCTCCAACGGTCTGCCGACCTGGGGATAATGATGTTTTGCTCCGTGCTGTTCCACTGGCCGAGCGAGTTGACCACCTGGCCGACGTCCAGGGTGCACCGGCCGATGTAGCTGAGCGGCGGGATGCTGAGGTTCTCAAAGTGCTCCTCCAGGGTCTTGAGGATGCAGCGCGGCATGAACGGCTCCAGGCCGGTGCGCCGGGCGGTCGCCCACACGGAGGCGTACTCCCAGATCTGGTTGCCCAGCCTGCCGCCCTGGACCGCCGAGACGATGCCGTACCTGGGGCAGGGGTTGTCGCGCAGCTCCGACGCCGGCACGCGGACGTTGTTCCTCAGGTTCGCGCGGCAGAGCGCCTGCTCGTACGCGGAGATCTTCATGTGGCGCGCCGGCGGGGTCGACGTGTACATGGGAAACAGGAAGACGTGGATGCCGAACACCACTAGCAGCGCGAGGACTATCGCGCTCGCAAGCACATGCTGTTGAGCGTGGCTCATTCTCTCCGCTAATCTCGCGCTACGCGAATTTTCAGCGCGCGATGGGATGCTCGGCTTTTTTTTTTCTGTCTCTCTCCCTCGCTTTCTACGTGCCTGGCCGTCTACCCTTTCTTCACTACTTTGCTCTGCTTCTCGCTTGCTCTGCCTCTACTGGTCGGCCGCTCACGCTTCTCGCGCTAGTCCGGCATTTCATATCTACAGGTGTGCCATGTCCTTTGCTTTCCGACGTACATCTTGACAACAATAAATGAGCGATAAGTGTACACGGCATTTTCAAGATAACATGACGTTTTTTTACGTGCAAATTTTAACGTTACTTCGATTGCAAGACTAAAGTTGAGATATCCATGTAACGTGACGGTAGAAAATTATAGGAATCTCTTTTCAATATAATCACGTGACAAGAGTTTATCATACTTCATTTCATTTCCATATATGTCGTGAAGAAATATTTCATGATACATTTGAAGCGTCAGCTCGCGTGTTCAGAAGTTTTAATCATACGGACTTAGAAATCGAGAAAAATCCCACGTTAGAAATTACTTCCACATAATTGCATTCCGTGTATCTCATTCCGGAGTGCCCCACGATCTCTTTTACTCAATCAGTATAATCGCTTTCCACAGAAATGCGTCGAGTGATTTAAATGTAATTTAATCCCCGCCTCCCCCCCCCCCCCAGCCAGATCGGATCGCAATTCTTCTCTGGATCATAGAAAAAGGACATGGCCAACACGCAACTGCTACGCAAAGCTAAAATTCCATGCAAGCGACGACTCTGGCGAGCGTAAATTACAAATGTCAGCATTGTAATCCTACAAGTGTAAAAGAAATTCGTAGTGGGAATCGCAATAAACGATCCTAGCGAGCTAACAATCGACTCTGGACGCGCGAACCATGCAGTGAGGCATTCGTAGGCCTGGCTTTTCATTTTCTGATTAACTGTTAGCCAGAAGTTAGTCGATTCTCTGTCTCTTCTTAGATAATATAACATAAAAAAAGATAGAGAGTCGACTAATCTCTGGTTAACAGTTAACCAGAAAATGAAAAACGTGGGCTATGGATTCAGGATCGTCTTACATTTATCTAGAGATGCTGCGTGTATCTAAAAATGATCCTGAAACGACTTTAAATATAAGATCTGGGACTCGATCATGAATCTTTTCCTCTAGCGTGATCTCGCGAAAGGCGAGAAACTTCATTAACGAATTCAATCTTTGTCAATGAAAATTTTCACTTTTCACGAGTTCACGCTAGAGAAAAAGATTCATGATCGAGCTCCATGGATCTTTTTCTCCAGCATGAATCTTTTCCTCCAGCGTGATCTCGCGAAAGGCGAAAAATTTCATTAACAAATTCAATCTTCGTCAATGAAAACTTTCACTTTTACGAGTGAACAATTTCATTGACGAGTACTCAATTCTTCAACGAAATTTTTCACTTTTCACGAGTTCACGCTAGAGAAAAAGATTCATAATCGAGCTCTATGAATCTTTTCCTCTAGCGTGATCTCACGAAAGGCGAGAAATTTCATTAACAAATTGATCTTCGTCAATGAAATTTCATTAACAAATTCACTTCGTCAATGAAAACTTTCACTTTTACGAGTGAACAATTTCATTGACGAGTACTCAATTCTTCAACGAAATTTTTCACTTTTCACGAGTTCACGCAAGAGAAAAAGATTCACGGGGCTCGATGATGAATCCGTTTCTCTAGCGAGAACTACGTGAAAGGCGAAAAATTTCATCAACGAATCCTTGCCAATGAAAATTTTCACTTTTCACGAGTTCGCGTTTGAGGAAGAGATTTATGATTGAGCCTACGATCGAACCGCCGACTATGAATGCTGCTCTAACACTCGTCCGAGGGAACGAACGTGGCGGCTACATCCGGAACGATGTGTTAATGAGAGCGTAATTAACGCGGGGCGACGGCGGACGGGGAGGGTACGCGACACCCCCTGTCGCTCGGCGAGAGGGGAGGGTGGCGTTTAGAAGTTTCGAAAAATGGCATGACATGGCACGGCTACGTATCACACTCCGTCATATTTAGCGACGTGAATCTTCCGCCTCGATATGAGAAAACTTGGGAGATTTAAAGCAACGTCACGAGACGAGACGCGGATAATTTCACATGGCTCGAGAAAGTTTCGTACGCGTGTACGCGAGATCCACTTGCACCTTGACAATTTCATCCCCCGAGTTACAAGAGCACACGCGTCTCTCCCTCTCTCTCTCGTCGATCCTCGTTCGCGAGAATTAATTGTCGCGTGGAAAATCTGCGAATTCGCACAGTCGCGTGCCAATAAACGCCAACTGTCCGTTACGTGGCATCGATATTATAATTTCTCACTCAGCAATACAAATGTATTATAACATAATACACGTTGTACGCAAAAGTTACATTGTTGGGCAGGAAATTACGATATCGATGTTATGTGACCGTTGGTATTTACTGGGGTATATACGTGCGTAATACCCATTCAAAGTTATTGCGTCGCGAGGACGGGAATTGCGCGCGCGACACACATACTCTCGGGGGAAGCATCGCCGTCGACGCGGCGCGTGCAGCTCGTCGAGATCCAATCCCCGAGGGAGGGAAACCACTAGGAAACGCAGGAGCAGCTCCCGCGTCCGACGCGCGCTCGCAGTCTCCGCTCGGTCCCGCGGGAGACGCGAGCCGCGGCTTCGATCCGACGTCGCCTGGCTTCGACTTACCCTCCTCGCGTTCGCGCACCGCGGAGAATCGCGACGCTCGTCCGCGACAGGGCGAGTCACCCCCGCGGCAGCTTCCGCCCTTTCGAACGCTCCCTCGCCCGCCCGACTCGGCTCGGCGAGAGTCTAGTCCCGCTGGAGAAACGGAGCCGCCCTACTCACCGTTCCGGCCAACTCGGCGATTCGCGGCGCACAGGTCGAGCCTCGCGAGCAGCAGGCGCGAGCTCGGCTCGCTCATGTTTGCCCGGCGCGGACGCTTGTTGCACCCCGGCCCGGCCGCCGCCGTAGCTCGGCCGTCGCCGTCGCCGTCCCCGTTTTTCCGCCGACGGGCGTCGTCGCGGCGCGGGCGCGCAGCGACGTCCCCGCTTCACGGCTGCCTTCGCGACCTCGCGTCGATCCTGCCCGCGCGCGCTCCTCCTCGCACGTCCTCCGCGACGCAGCGACGTCCTCTCTCGCCGGGGATGTTTTCTCACGGGCGGGCCGTGACGTCACCCACCCCTCGCAGGCGCCGCGTATGGATCTTTCATTTCCCCGTTGGCGCCGTTTCCCTCCCGAAGCACGCGCCATCTGCCGTCGTCGCCGACCGTCGGTAATTTTGTGTCGATAAAGTAGGAGGCGAAATAAGAAACGTCAATTATCGACACTTTCATTTTCGGTCCGTGAGAATCTCCTTTCCCGAAAGTGGAACCTAGATTACACGAAACCGATAGATAATTAAAAGCGCGGTGCGTAAGCGAGATATGTGACCGCGACAAAATACCACGATTTACATACATAATTTAGATGAGTTAGTCTCGTGAAATACCTGTGTATACGTTGATGAAGAGCAGTCGCCTCGACATGCAGTTCGTTTCCCATCACAAGTTGTAGAAACTCGATAATTCATCCAGAAACGTCCACTTGTCACTGATAAAAGTGCACAAACCAATAGCGTTTTATCCTCACATTCACTCGCGCTCGAGTCTTGGAAGCCGATAACACAAAAGTATAAGTCCCAGTCTACAATAGAGATTTAAGCCCTAAGCCTTAAGAAATTGACTAATC